TTTTTTTGTAAACTTCACTATTTCACTTTCCTCTTTTTTTTTTTGTAAACTTCACTATTTCGCTTATTTGGGTTTGCACCTTTTCCTGTCGTTATAGTACTGACAAGATGCTGCGAAGATGGTTCACGGGTCACCGTCTTTTTCCCCCACCATGACCACACATTTCTGCATAGTTGCAAATAAGAGATACATGTAGTAGGGGTTACGAGGGCCCGGAATTCATAGGGTTGGTCAGGACAGTGGTCCCCCCACGCCAGCCGTATTTGCGCATCTTTCGCTAGATCGAGTAAAAGAGGGGTACCCACATTCCAGAAGCAGATGCGTTGTATGTAAATGGTTCATCCCGAGTACAAAATTAGGGGTTGGATATCCACCCATCGATAGTTAAAAGTGTCGAAAATGTATCGTCAATGCGTACGATACTTGTATAATATAAGGTATTTCTTATAAGAAAGAACCGTATTTTACGTCACCATGTTACCTCCTTAGGATAATTAAAAAAATTACCGACCGGCGGTCACAGCATAATTACCGACCGTGATACGGCCCCTGGGGGGAGATGCAGCGCTGCTACTGGGTGGTTTCGGGCCTTAGGACCAGGGCCGCGTGGTGGGGGGATCCATCACAGTGTCGCGGGGGGAGGGGAGAGCTGGTCACATTGGCGAGGGGGTGACGCCATAGTGCAGCGCGGGGGGTCAGAGCGCTGCGCGCTCCATGACTTACAGGGGACAGTGGTGGGGGTTTGTTGTGACGGCCAGAAGTGGCTTATAACTACTTACGCGGGGGGTCAGAGCGCTGCGCGCTCCATGACTTACAGGGGACAGTGGTGGGGGTTTGTTGTGACGGCCAGAAGTGGTTTATAACTACTTGCGTATCCTCAAGGAATCTTCGCGAGTGGTTGAAGCGGCCGTACTGGAGCTCGGCAAAAGGGAACCGGCGACCGATGTAGGGAGGAGACTCGGGGAGGAAAACCTCCGTCTGAAGGCACGAGTTAGGGAACTGGAGGGCGACGTCAGCCGACTTTCCAAGGAGGTTGAGGTTTTAAAAGCTAGGGTGGGGAGATCCGCTGCCTCTCCCACCATAGCCTCGCGGGTAGGTGCATCAGATGATATAGTGCATAGGATGGCTCGCCTCATGGATGAAAAGCTAAAAGCCATGAGGGCGGAGATATTGCAGGCGGTAGGGCCGGTTCGCTCGTCCTCCGCGGCGACTCGGGAGGGGATGGCTCCCCGTCCAGAGATGGCGGACACTGGCGGGGGTGGTGATGTTCAGCGGGTGCCCCCCTCTGAGAGTGACTGGACGGAAGTGTCCCGAAAGGGCAAGGGAAAGAAGAAAAACAAGGTGAAAAAACCGCAGGAAGCCGCCAAGGCGGCAGCCTTGCCGGGCGCCTCCGCGGGTCCTGTGCGGACTTCAACTGTGGGGCGCTTCGGTCGGGGGCCCGGAGCTGGGGTTTCGCGGGAAGGGGCTGCTGCCCGACCTGTGACCCTGCCCCCCCCCCCCCCC